GAGTGAACCTTCTGATGGAGAATAGTAGGCTATACAATTCTTTGTTCAGTTTTGAGCTCTGGTTGCTGAGAGTCTCCACCTCTCGTCCCTGCTTCCAGTCTCTCCCACCCACACAACCATGCTATTCCCCTCAGTATTCTGGGTGGAGCAAGAAAGGGGTGGGCCTCTAGAGCAATGTTCCACACAGCTGGGAAAGCCAGGTACTCACTCACTACACTTTTTCTCCTGTGGGGGAATCATAGACTGAAGAGGTATCTTTTAACATTGTGCTGTACCACCTTAGGGGAGGGTTGACATGGGTAAAGTGAAATTAGTCTTCTTACCCTCTTCAATGCATCTATTCTTATATGTTTTGCTTCAGTGGTATACTGGAATTTCTCTGCCAGATGCCCAGACTCCCACAAAGATACTCTAATCTGTAGACAGTTGTCAAAATCAGTACACTGTGAGATGATAGTATAAAACTCCTATTCTGCCATCTTGCTGATGTCACTCTGAAAATATCTTTATTCCACCGTCATCTTTATAGTTGGGTGGATAATAGTTTGGTGGTGTACAAGATTTTAGTTGGAAATTATTTTGCTTCAGAATTTGTATATATTTCTTTATAATGTTCTCATTCCAAATATTTTTGAGACGTTAAATATCATCTAGATCTTGGTACTTTGTACAAATCTGTATATTCTCCCTTCTCTTTATTCCAGTACTCATTGAACTGGTGAGTTTTCTAATCTGTACTATTTTGTTGTTCATTCTTTGAAATTACTGAAATATTCCTTAATTGTTTCTTTAGAATTTTCTATTCTTTGTTTTCTCAGTTCACTCTTCTTAGGGCTTTTATTATTTAGACACTAAAATGTCTGAACTATTCTAATTTTATCATTTCTGGGTTTTTTGGTTGAATTTTACTACATATTCTAGAAGATTTCCTCAGATTTTTCTTTTTATTCTCCCATACAGTTTTTCTTCCAATAACTCTTTTAAGTTAGAATATAAACTTGAGAAAAATAATATGAAGTCGCCTTCACTTCATTTTTGATGTCTGTCCCCTTAGCACAATGTCTGGTACTTTTGAGTCCTCAACAGCATATATGCACACATTATAAACACACATGATATATTATATTATTATATAATTATATATGTAAAGTATATTTTGTATATCAATTACATCTCATCTTCAAGAGAATTTATCTCAGCTACTGTATTGATTAGATATTGGCATAGTCTTTCAGCACACTAATTCTTACCTCTCTCCTGTGTTTTCAGAAACAGATAAATTTTACAAATTTGTACCTAAAGTGAGCTCATTTTGATGTGATTTTGGTTCTTTTGTTGACTAACATCCTCTGCTTCTTTTTTTATTTCTAATAATTATAGATGACATTATTATAGTACTTTGTGCCAATTGCTTTGTCTGTATCATCTCTTTCAATCCTCGCTACAACTCTGTGATGAAACCATTTATATAACCATCATTTTTCAGAGCAGGAAACTAAGATATTAAGAGTTTAAATGACTTGTCTAGGGTTACCCAGCCAGTAAGTAATAAATCTGGGATTCTACCTTAAGTCAACAGACTCTGCTTTGAATTATTTTAAATTTAAACTGTAAACAACATAATATACATTTTAGACAAATAATGTAGTACCATTTTCATCACAGTAGGCAATTCTGTTTTTAGCAGAAGATAAATAGGTATAGTCTCTTCATTATAATAATATTTTAATTTACTTCTGCTTCATATTTTGATTTACACATAACAGAATATCATCTTAAGACAGGAACCTATGGAGATAAGGCATCAGGCACAACAGCATGTAATGAGCTCAGATTGGAAACTGAACAGAAAAAGCTTAAGAAAGAATAGAAGAAGTCTATACTCCTATTGGTTACAGATATCCAAAGTAAATATGAATTCTAAGGGGAAATATTGAAGATGGTTCACAGGTTAGCTTATTGACTGGATTGCCATCTTTTTAACATCTACTTAATGAGGGTAGCTCTAGGTCTTATGACCTTCCAAAAAAGAAATGAGTCTTTCTGACTAAATTCATAAATAATGGAGCTCCCAAACTTATTTGATTTCTTATTTAGAAGTTAAAATAATTCAGCAATCATTTTAAGATAGTATAATTTCTTTTTTCCCATTGTTTTAGTACTTATTCATGGGTTACAAGTACAACTTTACTACATCGATATATTGTATTTTGTTGAAGTAAAGGGCTTCAGTGCATACATCACTGAAGCAACACACATTGTACCCACCAAGCAACCTCCTATCATTGAAGCCCCTATCCCCACCTCTCCCAGTCTCCATTGTCCTTCATTCTACACTTTGCTTTTATGTGTACACATTATTTAGCTCCAACTTAGAAGTGAGAACATGCACTGTTTTTCTGTGTTTGAGTTGTTTTGCTTAAGATAATGGCCTCCAGTTCCATCCATGCTGCTGCAAAAGTACATGATTTCATTCATTTTTATAGCTGAATAGTATTCCTTTTTGTATAAATACATTTTCTTTATCCAATCCTCCACTGATGGACATTTAGGTTGATTGCATACATCTGCTATTATAATTAGTGCTATGATAAACATGAGTACAGGTATCTTTTTTATATATTGATTTCTTTCCTTTGCATAGATATCCTGAAGTGGGATTGCTGAATTTTATGGTAGTTCTATTTTTAGTTTTTTGAGAAATCTCCATACTGTTTTCCATAGAGGTTACACTAATTTACCATTCCCCCCAACAGTGTATAAGAGTTTCTCCACATCCTTTTTTCTGAACCCTCATCAACATCTGTTATTTTTTGTCTTTTTAATAGTAGCCATTCTGATTGGTGCAAGATATGTCATTATGGTTTTAATTTGCATTTCTCTGATGATTAGTGATGTTGGGTATTTTTTAATATGCTTTTTCGCCATTTGTATGTCTTCTTTTGAAAGATGTCTATTCATGTCCTTATCCCATTTTTTAATAGGGCTAATTGTGGGGTTTTTGTTGAGTTGTTTGAGTTCCTTTTAAATTCTAGATATTAGTTCCCCATTGGATGTGCAGTGTACAAATATTTTCTCCCATTCTGCATGCTGTCTGTTGGCTCTGTTGATTATGTCTTCGGCTGTGCAAAAGCTTTGTATTTTAATTAAGTCCCATTCTTTTATTTTCATTTTTGTTGCCTGTGCTTTTGAGTAATTCATTCTTTGCCTAGACCAATGTCCGAATAGTTTTCTCTGTTTTTTTTTCCCCTAGTATTTTTATAGTTTTGAGTCTTACACTAAAGGCTTTAATTTATCTTCAGTTGATTTTTGTATATGGTGAGAGATAGGGGTCCAGTTTCATTCTTGTGCATATGGCAATCCAATTTTCCCAGTACCATTTATTGAAAAAGGTGTCCTTTCCCTAGTGTATGTTCTTGTCAACTTTGTCAAAGATCAGTTGGCTATAAGTATGTGGCTTTATTTCTAGGTTCTTTATTCTGTTCCATTGATCTAAGGACATAATTTCTAATGCAATTTCACATGGAGAGAAATGGGTTGAGAAACAGCCCATACTCTTCTTTGTACCTTTATTTTTCATTGGATAATAAATGACCTGTCTTGGATTTAACTGCCTTTTTGCTGTTTCTTTTTCTTTTCTTTTCTTTTCTTTTTTTTTGAAACAGAGTCACACTCTGTTGCCCACGCTGGAGTGCATAGCTCAGTACAACCTCACACTCCTGGGCTCAAGCAATCCTCTCACCTAAGCCTCCCAAGTAGCTGGGACTATAGGTTCATGCCACCACTCTGGCTAATTGTTTTGTTTTATAGAGACAGAGTCTCACTATGTTGCCCAGGCTGATCTTGAATTCCTGGCCTCAAGCAATGCTCCCACCTCAGCCTCCCAAAGTGCTGGATTATAGGCATAAGCCACTGAGCCTGGCTGGAAGGTAGAATCTTTTGTTTTTTGAGCATCCATCATCAAAAAGTTCAACTACGTCCTGCCACAGAAATGTTCCTTATTCTTCTGTAAGATAGGAAGTACTGGACTATACTAGTTTTTTATGGAAATTTTTATATCCTTAATAATAATTTCAAAAATTGAGAGCAAGTGTACTACAGACATATCATGCAGTAACAGCTTCAGTCTTCCTTTCTAACTTTTGCAGAGCCTACTATATTGCATTATTTGTATCAATTGATTGAAATTTATCCCACATCTTTTATTCTTCTGACCCTCACATTTATAGATTAAGTTTGTGGCTTCCTTATTTTCACTTTCATAGAAATATCTGTGTTTTTCTGTCACAAAGCCAATAGCGCAGCTGTGACAGCAGATGAGCAATTCTCCAAGGCAATAAGCCAGAGACTACTTCAGAGACTCCAGGGAGGACACAAGGAAGAGATGCTCATCTCTTCACACTTTCAGGCAGATGCAGAGCTACACTCTGTGCAGCCAACAAGAAAGAATTCCATAAAATTTGTTAGAGACACATATTTGTTTGGGAATATTTATTGTTTTGTGATGTGTCCTTAGGTATTTTTTCACGTGTATGTGTTCAGTGTTCCCAATCTTATAAAATGATTCTGGAAGTAAAGAATTTATCTTCTATTTTCTTTATATCTGCTGATTCTCCCCTCTTTCAGTAGTGACACTATAACTAAATAGCTTAAGCTATTTTAATTAATTAATAAATAATTTAATTTATGTTAATTCTTTAGGTTAGTAAATGTCAAAGTTCTATCTTAGGCTAAATATACAATTGTCCTCAATTTTATATCTAATTTCCAACTATTACTATCATAAAATATTAACATTCAACTTTTATTAGAAAAAATGTATATATTACATGACATTAATATATTATTAAGTTATTGTTCCTACTTAAATTATTATCCTAAATGGTGTTTACACTATGTTTTGACTCATAATTTTAATAATTATTCTTAATATTAGAACTGTAGTTTAAAGAATGTTTGCTGGACCCTTTTCATGTACTTTCATTTTTTTCACATTTTAGGTGTGCAAGAATTTCCAGAAAACATAAAGTGCTGTAAGTGTTTAACAATTATTGAAGCCAGTGTCAATCCCATTTCTAAGTGAGTATGGGTGATTCAATTTTATTTATATGTATGTTTCCATTGGAAAATAATGTACCAAGATAGATGAAATTCAAAAATAATTGACCTTTAAATATAGCATTGATGTAGCATTTAATAGAATGATAGGAATGAAATAATTAACATCAGAATAGTTTGATAAAACACGATTAAAAGTATTGCTGAGAGACCCCGTCTCTACTAAAAATAGAAAGAAATTAATCGGACAACTAAAAATATATAGAAAAAATCAGCCGGGCATGGTGGTGCATGCCTGTATTCCCAGCTGCTCGGGAGGCTGAGGCAGGAGGATCGCTTGAGCCCAGGAGTTTGAGGTTGCTATGAGCTAGGATGACGCCTCGGCACTCTAGCCCAGGCAACACAGTGAGACCCTGTCTCAAAAAAAAAAAAAAAAAGTATTGCTGAGTGGCAGTGAAGTCCCAACTGGCACAAGATAACATTACTTCAAAGCAAACTATGGGGCCAGGCGCGGTGGCTCACGCCTGTAATCCTAGCACTCTGGGAGGCGGAGGTGGGTGGATCGTTTGAGGTCAGGAGTTCGAGACCAGCCTGAGCAAGAGCGAGACCCCGTCTCTACTAAAAAATAGAAAGAAATGATCTAGACAACTAAAAATATATATATGTAAAAAAATTAGCTGGGCATGGTGGCGCATGCCTGTAGTCCCAGCTACTCGGGAGGCTGAGGCAGAAGATTGCTTGAGCCCAGGAGTCTGAGGTTGCTGTGAGCTAGGCTGATGCCACGGCACTCACTCTAGCCTGGGCAACAGAGCGAGACTCTGTCTCAAAAAAAAAGCAAACTATGTAATCATTTTCTTCTCAGACATTCTCAGTAATTCTTAGGCAACATTCCATGGATGAGAGTTGAAACTAAGAAAAGAGTTGTTAGTTATGGCCATGGTGGGAATATAGCATCAAGAACCTAATAGAACTTCAAGAGAGTGTTAGAGTTTAAGTTTTTGATGAGTACATGAAAATAACTGACTGTGTAGTTCAAAGGAATTAAGTGTGACCAGAAATAGGAAATACGTGTGTACCAGAGACTGCACCAAAAGCAAAGCGATAGTCCTATGAAGATAGCACAATGGAAGACATGGATGGTAAAGATGCTGTGATTAGAAAAACGGTATATGTGGTTCAAGATCTGCTAGTAAGAAATGCCATGGGAAAATGAGACCCATCATGTGATCATGTTGGTGAATTTTGGGTATTGTGTAATGATGGAGGTCTATGGAATCAAGTAGGTCAAGAAACCATGAAGTAAATGGATTGGATAAGTCATGAACCTGAATGCTAATGTCACTAACAATTGAAATGGGAATAAAATTTAGAATGGCTATTGACAGTTATAGTATTTTGAAGAAGTATAAACAAATCAGTGGTATTCAGAGGCAGACAATGAGTTTCAGAGTAAGACTTCAATTTTAATTACACAAGGCTGACAGTAGGATTTGAGAAAATATTTCCATCTTTTGTCCACATGAAGTTGGGGAGGCTGGGAGAAACTGAAGCCCATTGGAAAGGCATTCAATGAATGGATTGTTTCAGAGAAGATATGAAGAAATTTTTCAAAGAGAAGTTGATGGGAAATTTTATACCAATAGAGTTGAGGAGAGGGAGTAGTGAGTGAGGTGATTCTCTATGGATCGTGGGAAGAGGATCTAGTTGAGACCAGGCATGGAATGTAAAAGAATGAAATAGAAGTTTAGATGGAGATCTTTATGTTAAATGGTTTGTGAAATAATTTAAGGCTTTTAGTAGAAAATGTGGGACATCAAGCAATAAAGTGTGTTTGAAAGTTATAATTTTTCTACCTCAAAAGTAGAATATAGAGGGAAAAATAAGCAAAACAAAACAAAGCCCTGAAAAGCTTTTCCAAAACTCTTGGACCAAAATGCAATTTTTTCAACATCTCAATGAAATAGATGTTACTAATCTCTCACACCAGAACTACAACCATGTCCTTGACTTGAGTCATAACAATCCACAATAGATGATGAATTGTTTTATTCCTTATTTTTTAATTCTAATAGCTCATCCTATTTAGGAATAATGGTAAAAATGGGAATGGAAGCCAGATAATGAATTATATATTTAAGAAGTTTAAAGTCTATAGCTATATCAGATATATCTCTGAATTCTTTTCATATGTGTAACTTTTTAAAAGATAAATAAATGTGACCTATTTTATAAAAAATGTATAATACTATAAATATTAGACAATTTGGAAATTTATAAAAAATTACTCTATAGAAAAGTCAATTTAAATAGTACATTAATTTTCAAAGTCAGGTTTTTTAAAATATAGTTTATATGCGGCAAAATTCATGCTTTTAGGTGTTCAATGAATTTTGAAAAAAGTATGCAGTCCTGTAACCACTACCATAATCAAGATGTAGACCATTTGCATCACCCCAAAAAGTTCCCTCAGCCCAATTATCCAATGATCTGATTATTACCCCCATAGTTTTGTTTTTCCAAAATGACATAAATTATATCATACTTTTGTGTCTGACTCCTTTTACTTAATTTGATTTTTAGATTTATTCGTGTTGTTTCAATAATCAGTACTTCATTGCCCTTTATTGCTAGGTAGTATTATTCCATTGTAACAGTATAACAAATATAACATGATTTGTGTATCTATAAGTTGTTACACATTTAGAATGTTTTCAGTTTGGGGCTGTTATGAATAAAACTGGTACAAATTATGCACAGGTGTATATGTGAGCATATATGTTCATTTCTATTAGGTAAACACCTAGGAGTAGCTTTCCAAGTAGTATGGTATGTATATGTTTAACCTTACAAGAAACTTCCAAACTGCTTTCCAAGACAGCTATTGAATTGTGTGCTTCCACCAGTAATGTATTAGAGTTTCAGCTGTTCCCCATCTTTGTCAGAATTTGGTTCTATCAGGTTTTTATTTTTTCTATTTTAGCTAGTATAGTAGATATGTTATTTCATTATGACTTTAATTTACATTTCTAATGTCTAGTTAGCATATTTCCATGTACTTATTTACAATCTGTTTTGCTGCTTTGGTAAAGATTCAAACATTTTGTCCATATTCATTGGCTTGCCTTTTAATTATTGAATTGTAACAATTTATATATTCTGGATACAAGTCTTCTAGAAAATATTTATTTACAAATAGATAAGCCTATTCTACAGCTTATCTCTTCATTTTCTAAATAGTGCCTTTCAAATAGAAGTTTTTAATTTTAATGAAGTCTTATTTAATAAGGTTTTATGGTTTGTGCTCTTGTTTCCTATCTAATAGATCTTTGCTAAATCCGTAGTCATAATGATTTTCTCCTATGATTTTCTCTGAAACTTTTATAGTTTATGTTTTACACTTAGGTCTATCATCAATTTAAAGTTGATTTTTGTATATTGGCAAAGTGTAGGGGTCATGGCTCATTTCTTTGGCACATGTCTATCTAATTGTTCCAGTACGTTTTGTTGAAACAATTATCTATTTTTCATAGAATTACATGGGTACCTTTGTTGTAGATCAATTGATCAGATATGTTTGGGTCCTTTTCTGGATTTTCAATTTTGTTAGATTAATTTATATGCTCATTCTTACACCAATTCCATACTGTCATATTACTGTAGTTTTATAGTAAGTCATGAAATTATGAAATGTGAGTCCTTCAACTTTGTTCTTCTCTATCAAAATTGTCTGGGCTAGTCTATGCCCTTTGATCTTCTACATAAATTTTGTAACCAGCTTGCTAATTTCCACAAGAATATTAAAGCCTTCTGGAATTTTTGTAGGGATTGCATTGAATCTGTAAATCAATTTGGGCAGAAATGACATCTCAAAAATATTGAGTATTCTTATCCCTAAACATAGTATAGTTTCATACTGATTTAGGTCTTTTAAAATTTCTTTTATCAATGCTTTATGGATTCTGACATACACATTTTACATGTTTTATTTGTTTTATTCCTAAGTAGTTCGTGTTTTTTGTGCTGTTGCAAATGATTTTTTATTATTCCAATTGTTTAATACTAGTGTATATAAATACAATTGATTTTTATATAATTACCTTAGATCCTGCAATCTTACTAAACTTACTTATTAGTTCTACAAGATTCTTTTTATGGATTTTGGGGAGATTTTCTATGTGAACTATCATATCCCTGGCGAATAAGACAGTTTTAGTTTATCATTTTTAATCTATATGCTATTTATTGACTTATTTATTTTTCTTGCTTTATTGTTCTGGATCTAGTTGAGACAAGGCATGGAATGTAAAAGAATGAAATAGAAGTTTATATACTGAAGAGAAGAGGTGAAAGCAGATACCATTGTCTTATTCCCAGTCTTAGGGAAAAGGCATTTAGACTTTCACCATCGTGTGATTGTAACTTGTTTTTTTTTCTTTTTTTTCAGATATGCCCTTTATTAGGTTAAGAAAGTTTCCAGTACCCTGCCACTCACTTCATTTTAAGTCCTCAGTAGCAGGAGGACTTAAAATGGTCTGCAAAGTTTAGATTTCTACTAATGGTCTTTTCAAGGAAATGTAGGCTTTACCTATCATGTTTTTTTAACATTCTCCTGTCTGTGACCACTGCCTGCTTCCAAAGCCACTTCACATGTTTAGGAATTTATTACAATAAAACCTCAATTCCAAGTATCAAAATCTATATTAGTTTTCTAATGCTATGTAACAAATACCACAAGCTTGGCAACTTGAAACGACACATATTTATTATTTCTCAGCATCTTTGGGTCAGGAATTTGGACATGGCTTATCTGGGTTCCCTGCTTCAAAGTTCTCACCAAGCTACAATCAAGATGTGAGTCAAACTGTATTCTCATCTGGAGACTCACCTGGTGAAGAATCCCTTTTCACTCTCACTCAGGTTGTTTGCAGAGTTCATTTCCTTGTTGTTATAAAGCTGAGAGTCCCAGCTTTTTTTTTTTTCTTTTTTCATATATTTTTTCAGGATGTTATGGGGGTACAAAC